CAAAATTGATCATCTGTGACTCACTTCTTAAGCTTTACTGCAAGAAAACACACATGTGGTTTGGGTACACACGACCTACAAAAGTCCCATAAATAAAAGCATCCACGCGGCAGATAAACGTTACCTTACTTAACCCTTTTCTTTCCACAGTATAAACCCAACCCTGAGGTTAATATGACATCAAGTGTTCATACTGACTTCCGTTCTGGTTTGGAGGGGAGGGACACTCTACTGGAGAGGCCTCTGCCGCTGTAGCTGCTTTCGTCCTCGTCCACATCGTCGCTGTCCTCGTCTGCATCTCGGTTCACTCTTACGACAGAACTCACTACCGGTGCCTTCCGCTTCCTTGAAAACTCTTCTTGCTGAACGGTGAAAGCAAGGCATTATTACTATATCCAACTACCTAACACACCGTCACCAGAAAGTGAGCAAAATAAGCACTCTGATAATACCTTGTTGGATCCAGTTCTAGAGGTTCTGCTGGTTCTGCTGCCCTGCTGCCTAGCATGAAAGGACGCTTCCGCAGAGCTTACTGATGTGAACTGGCCCTGACCGGGTCTATAGATATCAGCGCTGTGTCTGTTAGCTGCGCCGTGTGTACGACTGTGGTTGGTGCTGATTTCTAAAGGCTCGTCAGCGATGAGGTCGTCGTCCATCTCTGGTTTGATGTCAAGAACTGCCTCCGATGGGAGCGGCTCCACCAGGGGCCTAACACTGGAGGAGAGCCGTGAGGAACCCTTTTCCAAGGTCCCCCTCCTGATAACAAACAAACAAAATACAAGAAAAATGTAACCACACACAAACACACTTCTTGGCCTGCTTTGACCAAAGACTTTCTTTGTTGATGAGTACTTCTTTGTTCCAGTAAATAGTCATTTTTAACATCATAATACTTTCTGGTGGAAATCCGGACATGCTTTTGTGTTTTGTGTGAATTATCACTGACTTACATCATAAAAAACTATAACAAAAACCTTAAACAGTACAAATAATACAAACACACAGAAGAACTGAGCCACCATTTATGAGAGCTTCCAAAGAGGAAATGGATATTACTACAGTTAAACTTGGAAAAATAGTGGTTGGAGACCTCAGCATGAGCAAAATTATCCCAAACAATGAGCAATCAATTCACAATTTGCTTTAAGTTACTACATAGATTTTCCTGCTGAAGCATAATTTGGAAATTAGGGGGCAACCTGAGAAACTACTGCGTCAGGTACCTGCTCTCATGTGCAGAGCTGGATACACGGGCTTCTGTCCTATCTCCTCTTAATTCCTCCGCTCGGCCGTTTTCACCTACAGACGATCGGCTCTTCCCGCTCACAGTAGCGCTGTCTGACTGCAGCTGCTTGAGGGATGCGGGCTCTGAGAAAAACAGAAACATGAGCAATGCTAAACTCCTGAGCCTCACATGTTCATAAAAAAGACAAACTTCCCATTGCTGGTTAAAAAGTGCAGAGATGTATTCAACGCAGCCGGGCTTACCTGCTGCAACAGATCTTAATTTCTCCAGAACACCATGCAGCCTAAAAATGAAGAAACAAAAACAAAATTAAGGAAAAAAG